AAGCCAGGCTCTGGTCTGGGGAGAGGAGGAGGAGGGAATGGTTTCCTGCTGAAGGGTGCAGGGGCCACAGTGGGAGTGTGGGGGGCAGATCTTCCAAGTCGTCCCCCAACTTACAGGGCAGCAAGCTGAGACACAGAGATGGGAGAGGTCACTCAGGGGCAGTCATGAAAGTCCTGATCTGGCACCACAGGACAAGTCAAAGCAGGGGATCTTCACCACATTATTCTGGGGTTGAGCCCTGGCTCTGCTCTGTGGCCCAAAACAAGAGGCCTGCCCTCTCTGATCCTCAGAGCCCTTTCTGAAATGGGGATCAACAGTCTTCCCTTGCAGGAGTATTGTGACAACTGTATTATATTGAGTCTACATGGTGTCAACCAGGGAAGCACCAAGAGGCGTGGCTGGGACTCTAGTTTAGTGTGCGTGTACTCATGCCAAGTGCTATCCTTACACATACCAACACAATCCCTCCCCACGGCAGGGGAGGCAGACACTATTTCTATCTCCTTTTACAGAAAAGAAAACTGAGGCGCAGAGAAGGAGAGAAAACTAGAGTTCCACAGGTGTGGAGTGGTGAGGCCGGGTCTGGACCCAGCTTGGCCCGACAGGGGCACACAGCACCGTCGCAAGAGCCGGGCCCAGGAAGCAAGCCCGGCTGCCGATCATGGCTCTGTCCATGTGCGCCACCAGCCCTCTCTGCGCCCAGCACTCAGATCTGTACCTGAGCCTGAGGGCCAGGCTCTCCCCAAGCCCTCGGGGAACCACTTACAGCTCACTCCATGCCCACCCAGGGGCACCTGTAGTCACCACACCTTGCAGCTTAGCACAAGAGGCCCTGCCTGGGCTCCACCTCCTCACTGCTGAGTGGCCGCACCAGTGCCCTCCTGGGCAGCACTCACCATGGTGAAATGGCATCACATGGACCGGGCCCTAAGCGCGGCCTCACGCAGGTGCCCACCAGGCTCCAGTCCCTGATGATGATGCACACCCATCAAGGTGGCACTGGGTGTGCACGTGGCACCAGGCTCTATCTCCAGCTGGGCACACCCGTGAGCAAGTCAGCACTTCCTGTCCACACGAAGCCTCCCCACCCCTCTCACCAGCACGACCATCCTCACCAGGTTTTATACGTACAAACCATACTTCACAGGTACACCTAGGTGTCCTAGCCACTGCACCCCTCCTCACCACCGCCATCACCACCGTCACTATCAGCCCGTCACCATCCTCACCACCGCCCTCACCACCGCCCTCACCATCCTCACCACTGCGTCACCATCCTCACCACCATCCTCACCGCCGCCGTCACCATCAGCACCACATCCTCACTGCTGCCGTCACCATCAGCACCATCTCCATCACCATCTCCATCACCACCCCGTCATCATAACCACCACTGCCATCACCATGATTACCCTCATGATAATTGTTACCCTCACCCTCACCACTGCTGCCATCTTACTGTCACCACCTCCACAACCACCCAGAGATAGAGGTCTGTCTTGGGATTCTCTCCAGAGTTCCCAGAATTGCCCAGAAACACTGGTCTCACACGCCTTGCTTTTCATCAGAGGCTTGGCTTTCTTTTGTTTGAGAGTATATTAAGCTCCCCAAATCCTGGACAGGGTCACACATCTCCCCTCAGAGGTCTCTCCTCCTCCTCTGGGGTGGTGGTAGTGGGCACAGGTGTGCTGGGGGGCCAGGCCACCTCTGCCAGTCTCTTCACAGCCTCCCCCAGGTGCCCCAGCCCCTGGGCGGCCTCTGCCAACTGGGCCAGCCCCAGCTCCAGGGCTCGGCGCTCCTGACGGTCTTGTTCCAGGACCTGGGTCAGCCTCTGCAGCTGGTCACCCACGGCCCTCACAGCGTCCACCAGCTCCACCAAGGCAGGTGGCTCACAAGCCATGACTCTTACAGGTGGTGCCGGGGACAGGCACGGGCCCAGGGGATCTGGGATCTGGCCAGGGGCTGGGCCCAGGACAAGGGGATCAGGGGGTGGTTGGTCCAAGGGGCGAGCCCTGGGAGGCAGGTGGAGGTCAGGAGTTACTGTGGGGTCAGAGGCTGAGTGTGGGGTGTGGGCAGGTGGAGGGGTTAATCTGGGGGTCTGGCTTCTGGGTGGCTTGAAGCCCTCCGTGGATAGTGGGTCCACGCTGGGCGCCGGAGAGGCCCTAGAGCGGCTGGACCCGGAGGCTGGGGAGGGGTCCAGGCTTAGTACCTGGAGTGTGGGCGTGTGAGGGGTCCCCACTGAAGTCAGCTGGGGGTGCAAGCTGGGCTTGTCCTTTGGTGCCAGAGTGGGAGAAGGGAGTTCTGTCCCCAGGGAGGCTGGAAGGGACTTGGTGGAGAGGGCTGGAGTGGAGACGGGGTCAGGAGTCCTACTAAGGTGAATGGTGGCAGCAGGCTCAGCTGTCACGGTAGGTGGAGAGGCCGTGGTGGGGTGAGGGGTCATGGTGAGGTCAAGGGTCATAGGAGGAGGAGGCACTGTGGTGGGGTGAAGGGAGGTAGTGGGGTGGGTGGTGGCGCGAGGGGTCGTGGTGGGGTGTGTGGTCACAGTGGGGCCAGGGCTTGTGGAGGGGTCTGAGGATCCAGAAGGTTCTGGGGCTGTCTTGGGGTAAGAAGCTGTCTCCATGTTTGGGGTAGTGACAGATTCTGGGGTCAGCCCTGATGGCGTGGAGGGGCCAGAGGTCGGCTCTCGGGGCGAGGTGGAGGACGGCATGGAGGAGAGCGCCCGGGTCACAGCCGGAACCACACTGGAGTCAGCGGTGGACGGAGCAAGGTCAGCTGTTGTCAAGGAGGGCAGGGCTGGGGTGGGTGGAGGAGTGTCAGCAGGGTCCGAGGTCACTTCCCGTGGTGCAGCCCAGTCCAGGACGAGCGGACCCGAGGGCCCTGGCGAGGGGGATGGCGCGTGGGATGGGGTGGGGGCCGCTGTGCGGGCTGCGGTGGGCTGCCACAGTGGGCGCCCTGACCCCGGCTTCCTCGGGGAACCTGGAGGAGGCAGGAGGGACAGAGGTCCAGCTGAGGTCAGTCTGCCCCGCCCACCCTGGGTCCCGCACCCTCTCCGGCCAACTGGAGGGCGGGGAGCTCACGACATCATGGGTCACCAGCAGACTTCGCCCGGCCCTAGTGCCCTCCTCCCTCCTCCTCCGAGGCTCCGAGGCTCCAGACGCCACCTGGCGTCCTCTGTCCTCTGCCTGAGGCAGGAAGTCCCAGCCAGATGTGCTGGACAGAGATGGGCCTGCGGAGGGGGCTGCGGAGGTGCTGAGGAGGGGGCTGAGGAGGGAGATGGCTGAGGAGGGTGCTAAGGAGGGTGCTGAGGAGGTGCTGAGGAGGGGGCTGAGGAGGGGGCTGAGGAGGGTGCTGGCTGAGGAGGGTGCTGAGGAGGGGGCTGAGGAGGGTGCTGGCTGCGGAGGGGGCTGAGGAGGGTGCTGGCTGCGGAGGGTGCGGCCTGGGCACAGACACAGGGTGTGGCGCAGGGTGCCTGAGCAGGGAAGCAGGCTGGGAAATGGGAGAGGTGATCTTAGGATTCAAAATAAGTACTTCAAGGCAAAATTTTAAACAAAATCAATGTAGAAAATCCACAATGAGCTAAATAACAAAATTTTAAGGACAGGATCCAATGGGCTGGGTTAAGGGGAGTGGAGCGAGGTGGGCAGGATCCTGTCTTTAGTCAATTCTGGTCTTTACTTCATCGTGGGTCTTTTTCGCATTAATTTTGATTTTTAGCAACACTGTAATAGGGCGGCATTATCTTGATTACTGCGGTTTTTGTGCCCCTTCATTCTGTGCCCAATGGAGTGAGGGGCTGGCTGCCCCCGGCCTGGCTTCCCCTTCGGGAGAGCTCATCTCCTTCTCACAGAGGCGAGCCGAGAGGCAGAGCACAGGGAACCTGCCCGAGGCGACAGACGCAGTGGGCAGGTTCCGGGGTGAGACCGGAGCCCGGGCAGTTGGCACCCAAGTCTAGGTTTCAGATCTCCCCTTGTCCGTGAGGGGGCTGTTCCACCAGCTGAGCGTCAGAATTCAGTGGCCACTAGCCGCTGGTGGCTGGCGAACACTTGAAATGTGACCAGCACGAATGAGGAACAGCGTGGGTCACTGTTCACCATGTCGCCTGACTTAAATTCCAACAGCTGCCGGTGCTGAACGGCCACCGGAACAGCACCGCTCTGGAGATCCCACCAGGTCCAGGGTCTTGGAGGTGCACCCCTCCCAGGTCCTCTACTAGCGGGCTCCAGAAGCAGAGAAGCCAAGGGCAGGGCCTCTGCCAGGCTCTCTCCCTGGCTGGGTGACATGGGCAAGCTCCTTCACTGCTTGAATCTCAGTGTGATCCCCACCCATAAACCAGAGGTGACCAAATCCCTGTAGAGCAGCCACAGGGACCCAGAGGGACGGTGGCTGCGTGAAGCACAGCACAAGTCCCGGCAGGGAACAAGCACTCAGGCTACTGGGGCTGTGTCACGGATGCCTGCCTCAATTCCCCTGGGTTTGGGGAGCGTCACGGGGACTGAGGGAATGACGCACAGGGTGCTCCAACAGCACTCGGCGCGGGTGCACCACTCGTCATTCTAAATGTTTTTAGTCATTATTTCAAGAATCTCGAAGTGGCTGTGTACTGCAGCCTCAGACCCTGGGAACGGTGGTGGTCTCAGCTTGTCAGAGCCCAGGTGCAGAGGGCCGTGCTGTGTCATTCCTCTGCAGGAGGCCATCAGCAGAGGCTGGAACCCTCCTGGCCCTTCTCCACCCCATCACCCTCTCCCACAGGTACTTCACCAATGCACTTGACACATGGCCTTAAATACGCCTGTGTCCTCCACAGCACGTTTTGTAAGTGTGTGAGTGTGTATGTGTGTGTGTGTGTGTGTGTATTTTTGTGTTGTGCTTTTAACTTCTGCAAAAAACCATTCAGCTGAAAACCTCTTTCTCTTTCTGACTTCTGCCTTGGTGTAGGCCAGGCCCCGCGGCACCCAGCGGGCGTGCACCCAGCGGGCGTGCATCCAGAGCTCCCATCCCGGGCTCACCCACCTGCACTCTCCTCCACGCCCTGCGAACCCAGAGTTCCCGGACGTCCTCATACCTGCCTCCCTTGGTAAGTCCGTATGAGAATTCCTCTGCGGAACCGTCCTGGGAGTGGGATTTCTGGGTCCCCGTCCATGACCACGTAATTCCACTAAGTGCTTCCAGACTGTTTCTGTCAAGTGGCTGCTCCCGGGCTGCCGTGTTCCCAGGGCTGCTGCCCCACAGCCTGGCTCCCCGTGGGAGCACTCTGCACACAGACTTGCCTCTGCTTTCTCTGGGAGTTACTGGCACTCTCTCATTGGCTGCAGTGACTTGTGGGGTGCAGGCCGCGCCTCCCCCTCAGCCCTGTTGGCATCTGGGGCTGCGTGGCTCTGGCTGAGGGACCGTCCTGTGCCTAACACCACCCCAGCCTCCACTCATGAGGGCCAGCGGCTGGCTCCCTGCTCTGACGTTACCAAATGCACCTGTGGATGGCTCCCGGGGCGCCCTGGTCTGCACAGTGCCTCGGTTTCAGGATGCACTTCTGTTGGGTCTTCCTGGGGCAAGAGCTGGGCTACCACTGGGGGGGTCTGGAGCCTACCTCTACCCTCCCTGGGCACGTGCCTCACCTCTGTCCCCAGGGGCCCTTGGAGCTGGAGAGGGCTGGCCTGGGCTCTTGGTGGTGCCAGTGGTTAGAGTGGGTCCAGCTGTGGCTGCAGTGGGAGTCCCCTTGGCCAGGTCCCTTCTGGAAGGTGTGTCCCATGTCCAGGAAGACTTGTCACCATCCTGGTCACCTGAAGAGACAAGAGGAAGAAGGTTGGGTCTGACCTGGCTTTGTGCCCCAACTGTCCCAGCCCAATGCGGGCAGCACCAGGACCCAGAGAGTCCATCACGCAGACTACTCCCCAGTCCTACAGCCACCCTGGTGGCCAAGTGGCACACTCCTGCTACCAGAAACAGAGCCTGTGGCAAAGGCAGCTCACAGAACAAGAGCGCTTGTGGTTCCCATTCCCTGAGTCCCTGGCCGGCCTGCTCTTCCTCTCCCTGGGGAAACCAGTGACTCTGCCCACCAGCCGACACTGTGCTCCCTGGGTCTCTTTCTTTTTCCTTTTTTGTTTTTTTAATTTTTTAGTTGTAGATGGACACAATACTTTAATTTATTTTTTTGTGGTGCAGAGGACTGAACCAGTGCCTCACCTGTGTTAGGCAAGCGCTCTGCCTCTGAGCCACGACCCCAGCCCTCCCTAGGTTTTCTGGCCAGATACACTTGGATAGTCTGTAGAACAACTTTATATAACAAGTTTATATAAGTTTATCATCAACATAAAATTTCATTTAGGGGAGGATAGAAAGATGATTCAGTCTTCTAACTTTGTTGATCAAAAAGCTTAACACCCTTTTCTTGGGATAGAACCCACAAACATGGCCACTGACTGACTGAAGCGGCACAAGGCATGGTTCTCAGTGCATTCACGAAGCTGTACAGCTACCGTCACGACGAGGGTCAAGTGTTCACCGGCATCAGAAAGGAAGAGCATCTCCCTCGCCTCAACAGAGAGCTCCCTGCCCACTGCTCTAACCACACCCAGACCGACTTCTGTGACCGTGTCCCCCAATTCTGACCTTAGAGGCCTCTTCACACCATGGAGCCTGCCAGGCCCCTCCCAGGCTTAGCTTTCCCACAAGTCCCCACGGTCCACTGTGAAGTCCACAGAAGCTGCCCTGCCGGCCCCTGGGCATCAGTCCCCAGTCCCCCAGTGCTCTGCAGGAACTCCCTTCCGCCCACTTCCAGTGAGGGGCCTGCTAACACCCTCTCCCCTCCACACTCAAAACCAGGCAGAAGGGCAGGGCCCAGGGCCCCGGCACTTAGACATGATCACTTTGATCTCTGGCTGCGCCCCTGCAGAAACCTCTGCTACACTGATGTGCTACGTGCCCAAAGAACAGGGTCCACTTCCACCCGAGGCCAGTGTCACGGTCGCCCAGCCACATCTTCAGGTTATTAATCACTTTCCCCCCTTTTTGGTACTGGGGATGGAGCCAGGGCCCCTCCCGTGCTCGGCAAGCGCTCCACCACGGAGCCCCAACCCAGCCCTCACAACTCCCTTTTTAAATTTTGTTGAGACAGCGTCGCACTGAGTCGCCCAGGCTGGCGTCGAACTTGTGATCCTCCTGCCTCAGCTTCCCGAGTCACTGGGGTCACAGCCACCGAGTCTGCTCCATTCTTAATCAGCTACAGTTCTCTCTACATTAACACCAAGGGGATGCTCTGAGATCCTACAGGAAGGCACACTCCTAGGGAACTTGAGACCCATTAGCAGCGCTAGCGATTTAAGAAATGATGAAAGAAAAAGAGGGAAAACAGTCCATTTTCGTGAACTGTTAAAGATTTTCCGAGAGGGTGGACTTTCGGAGGACTCCTCTAGGAACAAACTCCAAGCTGACCACCTGTTGGAATGCGGCCACCGAGTGCAGACGCGCCCTGTGCACCCGGCGAGTGCTGAGAGGTCACTACACGCTCACCGTCCGTGGGTGTGGCTGGATTTCATTAAGATATACTTTTTAAGTGTTTTTTAAAAGAAGGACCAGTACACAGTTACGTCCTTCCCTTCTCCAGAGGGAGCTGCGGCGGGACGTGGCTGTCACTCTCACGCAGGTGCTCACACTTGCTGCCGCAGAGGGCGACGGCTCCCGGTGTCAGAACAGCACCTGCCACTGCGCTCACCACTTGGAACTTGTTTTCATTCAACCTCGTGTTGACTGTGACTGCCCGCTATGTCCCTAACTGGTTGGGTAAGCAAGTAACTTCTCTGTGACCCAGTGTCCTCATCTGTAAAGTGGGTATCCTCAGGATGTCCACGTCATGGGGTCACAGAGCTGGGGACAGGATATGCTGTTCTTCACCCTGAAGTAATGTAACTCTGGTTCATTCTTTTTAAACCTGTGTAATATTCCACACTGAACATACAACCAGTGACCTGCCCACCAGACAGATCTGCCCTGGGACTCCTGCTAAAAGGAGCTGCACTGGTGGCTGGGGAACCCTGCCTTGCCTCAGGCTTGGCCCTGACACAGGATTGCTGTGTGGGCAGCAGGGGCTTCCCCTGGGCATCACCAGGCTGCTGTCCAGGGGGGTGCCAATCCTCGCTCCCACCTGTACCCCACATCCTTGGTACTGTCAGAGGGTTTGATTTTTGTTGGTCTTGTGCGGAGGGAGTGATTGGGAAGCTTCTGAATTGCCACAGATAACTCCACTGAAGCTCAGAGAGTTCGAGGAACATTACCACAGTCACACAGCTCAGTGCCATGTCAGGCTTCAGGCCCAGGCGTCTCCCCTGTTCTGAATGGGTCCTCTTTCCCTCTGGGCACAGACCCCCAAGCCTCACCCCACTCCTGATTTAGCTCAAAGACCTCCCCAATTCCTCCCTGGATGAGGTCTCCCCCCTCCACGCTCCCTGGATTCTTCAGGACTGACTCTGTCCTTACCAGACTCCATGTTGTGGAGTAAACTCGAGTTTTTACCTAAGCCCTGCCTTTTGCTATTCTGACATCTCTCTACCCCAATCTCCTTACCTGCAAAACGGGGCCAAGGACAGTAGTTACCTCCTAACGTTGCACTAGGAGGAAGGAATTAAACCCGGTCAGCATCATGTCCTCAGCACGACTGCTATGATGTGATCTAACACCTAAACTTGATCTTGCTTTTAATCTCGGACCCTCTTCTCTCTGCATGACCTCCTGCAGCAATGGCTTAGGACAATATCTCAAATACAGGTCATCCCACCTCCTCAGGGGCAGGTGGCAGGAACTACCATACACACAGCCGTCCGCTGGCCTGGCCTCTTCACTTCTCAGCCCAGACGCTCCTCTGAGCTGCAGGACTGCAACACTGATGTCTCCTGACATTCCCACCCTGGCTGCTGTGCACCCGCCCCACACTGCAGATGGGTCCCGCCACCTCCTGGCCTCCCCTAACCCCTGACCTGGCCTTCAAGCCAGCTGAGGAGCTTCCCTCAGGGCCTCTGCACACACCGGTCCCTCCCTGGAGCCCCTCACCCGGAGAGCTGCATGGCTTTCTCCCACTCTCCCTCAAGGTCTTTGTGCAAATGGCACCTTCTGAGGTGTCTCTTGACTGCTCTGTTTCAAAGCACAACCTCAGGACCTCTCCAGCCTCTGCTGTGTTCCTCACCGCTGTGTTCCCAGGGACTGGTCCACAACCTGACACACAGTTGGCCTCTGACATGAATTAACGTCGGCCTCCAAAAGCCATCAGCCAGGAAGCTCCAAGACATGCGGCTATGTGCAATTGGAAGTGGAACTCCAACTCCACAGCCTCCAGTGTCATCCCCGCACACTCCTTTGGGCTTACACTGCAGACTCTCCTCCACTCACTCATTCAACATTAAGTAGAAAGAGTTCCAAGCCCCATCCTAGACCCAAACACGGTAGGCAGAATAACGCCCCCACCTCCAAAAATACCATTCCCTAATCTACAAAACCTGTGAATATGGCAAAAGGGACTATATGTACAGACCTGATAAGAAACTTGAGAGGGACTGAGAGGTGGGGTGGGGCGTGGAGGAAATGACAGGCATGAATTCGTATCTAATATGGTTAAGGACCCCGACCTTGGGTGGGAGATTATTCTGGGCCCAAACTAATCATACAAATCCCTAAAATCAGGGAAGCTGTGAAGCCAGAGTGACAAGGCTGTAAAGACAGAGAGCCTCAGAGAGATGCCATATTACTGACTCTGAAGGTGGAGGAAGGGGCGGGGAGGCCAGGAGCTGCAGGGGGGGGGGCGGTTCTCCCTTGGGGCTTCCTGGAGGGAGCAGCCCTGCAGGCATTCTGATCTTAGCCCAGTGAGACCGATGCCTGACTGCTGACCTACAAAACTGCAGGAAAATAAGTTCATGTTGTTTTAAGTCATTAAATTCGTATTATGGCAGCAATAGAGATGGATACAGATCCTTTATAGTTTAAAATCTGGCTAAGATTGACAGCCTCGATGCAAATATCGAGCAATGCAAACTTCTCCCCTCTGGCCTTTGCTCCTCTGAGAATTCCCTCCTGCTCTTTTCTGCTGGTGAAAGAATACCACCACCTCTATGAGGTTTTCCTTGATTCTACTACTAAAAATAATCACTCCATCCCTGGGATACTACAGTTGCTGGAAATTTCCAGTAAATAACTGTAACAACCATCGATTTGTGGTTTGAAGCAATTTCACACACATTTTGCTCTTTGGATTGGGAACTGTTGTCTCCCATCAGTTCTGGTCCCCGTGGAGCCTAGATTGGCAGCTGGTGGGGGAGACGGACGCCAGAACTCCAGCTTCTAACTAAGTAGCATAGATCCTCCCCAATCCAATGAGCAAGATGTGTCAAGTTTTTTTAAAGCTGATTCCCATCAGGGCTTCTGCGTTAGAGATGAACCTCCCGATCCTTTCTTTTCCCTATCCGAAACATGGGGTTAGCAACAGGCCTTACACCACCTGGTTGCTGGAATCGTGCCTGTCCAGCACAGAGACAGCGAGCTCTCGTTGAGGTTTTCCAACAACTCTGGAACCCAAGTTCCCACCGCCAGAGGAAGAAATGAGGGCTCAAAGAGAGGTCATTTTTGCACTGCTACTGAAGATACGAATTCATGCCTGTCGTTTCCTCCACGCCCCACCCCACCTCTCAGTCCCTCTCAAGTTTCTTTTCAGGTCTGTACACGAGGCTGTAGATTTCCCTTGCGCAGTCGGTAACTCTGCGTTACTTGCGCTGCGGGGTCTAGCTGGGGAAGGCCGCCTCTGCAGGGCAGATGCCCCGCAAGTGGCCGTCTCTGCCACGAGGGGGCGCTACAGGCCAGGGAGGCCGCACCAGGTTGCAGGGCACAGGGCGATGAAACCCTGGCCACACCTGAAGGAGGAGCAGCACTGCTGGCAGCTCCAGTTTCCGGCTTGGGAAGCGGGACGAGCAGTCCTACTCTCTGCCTGAGCCCCCCACCCGAGTCACGGCGCCCCCAGGGCCAGGTCCCTTCCTCTCTCCCTCTGGGGCAGGCTACAAGGTTCCCGGCACCTTCGGCGCTTCCTCCCACCTCCATCGCCGTAGCAGTGGGCCATCCAACCAATCAGGACACGCAGCGCCCTGTGACGTCACGAGGCGCCAGGAACGCCTGCCCACCGCGTGCGCATGCGTGCTGGGCGCCGGAGAAAGGCGGGAAAGAACGCCAGCGGCCGGGCGCTCCGGAGGGGGCATGCTGGACCACAGAGGCGGGAAGCCGGCCGAGCAGGGCGGAGGAGGACAGAGGGAAGCGGCAGGGCGGAAGACGTGCCGGAGAAACGAGAGCGCAGCGGGACGGCGGGAGGCGGGAAGGGGGCGGCGGGGGCCGCGACGCGGTGCGGCGGGAGGAGGAGGGCGGCGTGGTGCCGCGGCCTCGGGGCGGGGCGGACGAGGACCCCACGGAGGCTCTGGGGCCTGCTGCCGTGGCCCTGCGGGTTCCCGGACCGATCGTGGGCTCGGGGCCTGCTGGGCAGTGTGATCCCAGGGCCTCGGGGCGTGGCCGCTAGCCGGCCCTGGAGGGGGCTCCCCTGGGTCCTTCTGGAACCCGGCAGGGAGGGGAGCAGAGGTTTCTTGAGGCCCCTGGCCGCCCTGCCCGGCCTCACCTGGGTCTGGAAGTCGCTGGGTGGCTGGAGAGGGGCCCCAGGGACGCGTGCGTTCAGACCCCACTGCTGTAGTGGTCTCTGTGGCCAGGTCCTCTCCCGAAGTGGGGTCCCAGGTCCAGGGAGGATAGTCGTCATCGTCTGTGTAGCCTTGGGAGAAAGTGGGCAGCAGTTGACGCAGTTCCCTGTCGCCGAGGTCCTCGCCACCGCTTCCTGCTCCTCTGGAGTCTCCTGGAGCCTGCTGGTGCCCCAGCCCTGACCCCTCTGATCCAGGTCCTCCGATTGCACCCTGCTGCCGTCACCCTGCCCGCCCCCCACTGCCTTGGCCGCCTCCCCTTGGGAGACTGCACCTACCAGTGCAGGTGAGCCCCACGTCTTCTTCATGGTCACAGTTGTGCTTCCCCCACAGCCCCGAGGGGCAGTCACTTAGGGAAGTCTCAGTCCCTTTACAGCCCATGTCATCCAACCAGATGGGCCCAGTCCCAGGGCCATAGTGAGTTTTGCCCACTCGGGGCCGGACCTTTCCACAACCCAGTTCCCAGCAGGCCACAGTGCCATCCCTCAGGTCCCAGTTGTCATCACAGACTGTCCCCCAGCGTCCAGCATGCCATACTTCTAGCCGGCCAGCACACCTGTTGGGTCCATCAGCCAGACGAACCCGGAAGGGGCCTGTGGGTAGAAGGCCCTAGGGTCAGGAGGCAGGGGCAGCCCATCTGTGTTCCCCACTCCTTCCTCCACCACTCACCTGGTTCCCCGAGGGTGCTAGCAGTGGGGGAGGGGACTGAGTTCTTGGATGGCTCTGGAGATCCTTCTGGGATCTCAGCAGATGTCTCTGGGGAGGCCTGGGGGATTTGCCCGGCAGTGGCCTCAGAGGTAGTGTCTCGAGGGCTTTGTGTGGACAGCATTGCCACAGTCTTTGAGGTCCTTTCCCCGGGCACCTGAGGAGTCAGCACTCCAGTGGTATGTGAAGTCAGTCTGTGGGGATCCTCAGAGATCGGCCTTTTTGGCTCAGAAGTTCGTCTGGGGGAGGCCTCAGTGGTCAGGATTGTGGTCTGGGCGGTTAGTTCTCTGGGGGTTGGGGTGCTCAGACCCCTAGAGGGTTTAGTGGTTGGCATCCCAGGAGGTTGAGTGGTTGGTCTCTTTGGAATTTTGGTCACCCACTTCTTAGTACTCTTGGGCATTTTCCCTGGGGCCTTAGTGGTTTTCTCCAGCACACTGGAGGTCAGACTTGCAGAGGGCTTGGTGACAAGCTCTCCTGGGAGCCAGGCATCCTGATCTCTCCCCAGCCCAGGGA